CCATTTGAGTGTGGTTGGACATTTGGGCTGTTTCCTTGGTCTTGCTATGCCAAGTAACACTCCTATGAATGTTGATATACAAGTCTCTGTGCCTTAGTTGTCATTCTATAGGGGTATATTCCAAGCAGTGAAATAGCTGGATCATATAGAATTTCTATATTCAGTTTTTTGAGGGAGCTCTAAACTGCCTTTCAGAATGGTTTACCATTTTGCAATTCCATCAACAACTTGTAAGAGATCATATCTCTCCACATCCTCTCCAACATTTATTATTTATTTTCCTATTAATCTTTGCCACTGCTACTGGAGTGAGACGGTATCTCACTATGGGTTTGATTTGCATCTCTCTTATGGGCACATTGTTTTTAAAGGTTTATGGTCTTCAGCATTCTAAATGCGAATATGCAATTGCTGTTGTTGTAATGTTCCATTGAGTCACTTGCAACTCATAGCGACCCTATATACAAGAGCCCTAAACACTGCTCTATCTTGTGCCAACCTTGCTGTCTCTGACAAACTCATTTCCACCACCCCAATCACAGATTGATCGATCTCATCGAGGGTCTTCCACTCCTGCACTGTCCCTCCACTCTACCAAACATGATGTCCCTCTCCAAGGACCAATCCCTCCTTGCAACATACCCAATGTATATCACATGAAGCTTCAGAATCTTTGACTTCAAGGAACATTCCGGCTTCACTCTTTCCAGGACTAACCTGTTTGTTCTCCTAGTAGTCCATGATATAGTCAACATTCTTTTCCAACACCACAGCTCAAAGGCATCAATTCTCTTTCTATTATCCCTAGTCACTGTCCAACTCTCAGATGCATAGCACATAATTGCAAATACTATAGCCTGGATCAGGCACACCTTAGTCTCCAGCCTGACATCATTGCTCTTCAGTACTCTTGAGAGGTCCCTCACAGCCGACTTTCCCAATGCAATTCATCTCTTGATTTCCTAGCTGCTGTTACCAAGAGTGTTGACTGTGGATCCAAGTAAACTAAAACTGTTAACTATCGCAATCTCTTTACCATCCATACTGATGCTGCCAGTTGGCCCAGTGGTGAGAATCTCTGAAACTTCATTCCAGTGAGGGTTCTCATTATGTAGTATACAAAGATTCTAGAAAAGAAGGATGAAAACTCTTCCTTGTTGAGGTTGTGGATAAGTAGTAGAAACATGTTTAGAACAGTATGGATCAAACTGCATCTATATACCCTTGATAAGCTCGAATGTTTGACTTCTAAAATATGCATCTGAGAGCTGTGAGGAAGGAATAGGCAATTGAGATGTTGTTGTTAGGTGTCATTAAGCTAACCATGACTCATGGGAATCCTGTGTACAACAGATCCAAGCCTTGCCCTAACCTGCCCCAGCCTCATGATTTCTGATATGGTCAATGTCATTGTTAGAATCATTGCACCATTTCATCTCATGGACGGTCTTCCTTTCTTTCACTGAACCCCCACCCCCATCTTTCTCAGAATGATTGTCTATCCTGACAACATGCTCAAAGTATGTGAGGGGAAAAAATATTCACCATCCTTGCTTCAAAGGAACGCCTTGATTGTACTTACTCCAAGACAGACTTGTTTGTTCTTTTGTCAGTTCATGAGTTATTCACGACTATTCTCCAACACCACAATTCAAAGACATTGGTTCTTCCTCTAGCATCCTATTTCACTGCCCAGCTTTGAAATGAATAGGGAGCAACTGGAACATATGCCTTGGATCAGGTGTACCTTCATCTTTGTGTCATCCTTGTGCAGAAGCCATGCTAATCTCCTCTGTATTGTTCCAATTTTAGTGTATGTGCTGCCGAAGGGAGCAGAGGTGTACCTTAATCTTTAAACTGACATTCTAACTCCTTAGCACTTTGGAAAGGTCCTTGGCAACAGATTTTTCCCAACGCAACCTGTCATTAGATTGTCTGAGTGCTGTTACTGCCAGTGTTGATTGTAGACCCAAGAAAAATGAAATTACTGACAATTTCAGTCTTTTCTTCTCCATGAATCATGATGTTGAGGAATTATGATTGTCTGCACCAGGTCCGGGTCTTCCTGGAGTCAGGTTGCTTGGGAATGCAGCTCAAAGTGGGTGGTAAACTCCATCTGAGGCTAAATAGACCAGGAAGCAGTGCTCAGAACAGGGCAAGGAAACACTGTGTAGTTCAGAATTAGGAAAGGAGTGTATCAGAGATGCATCCAGTCCCCATACCTTTTCAATCTATATGCAGAACAGATAATTCGGGAGCCTGAGCCTTATGAGGAGGAATGTGGCATCAGGACTGAAGGAACACTCATCACCTTACGTTATGCAGTTGACACAAGCTTGCTTGCTGAAACTGAGGAGGACCTGAAGCACTTGCTGCAGAAGGTCAAGGACTGTGAAACTCAACATCAAAAAGACAAAGATTCTCCCCACTGGGTCAATTAACAGCACCATATAGATGGAGAAGAGTTTGAGGTTGTTAACAATTTCAGCTTACTCAGCTTCACAATCAACACTCTTAACACCAGCAGTCAGGAAATCAAAAGATAAATTGCATTGTGAAAATGTGCTGTCAGGGACCTCTCCAGAGTACTGAAAAGAAACTAATCCAACCTAGAGACTAAGGTGCACCTGATACAGGCCATGGTCTTTGGAATTACTTGCTATGCATCAGAGAGCTGGACAATGACAAGGGATGACAGAGGGGAAATTGATGCCTTTGAGTTATGGTGCTGGAGAAGAGTCTTGAACATACCATGTACTGCCAGAAAACAAATATGTCTGTCTTGGAGAGGGTGAGACCGAATTTCTCCTTGGAGGCTAGGATTTTGAGGCTCCATCTCACACACTTTGGGCATGTGGTTTGGACAGATCAGTCCTTGGAGAAGGACAACATACTCAGAAGGGTGGAGGAACAGTGCTGGAGAGGGAGGTCCCAGATGAGATGGACTCATACAGTAACTGGGCAATGGACGTAAGTGTGTTGGAGTCAATAAGACTGGCTCAGGATAGGGCAGGCTTCAGAGCTGCTATTAGTTACAGGTGACTTCATAGCATATAACAACAACAACAACTGGGTAAAGAGTTGGGCTGCCAATCCATATGTATGTTATTCAAAGCTCCTAACCAATCCATCAGAGAAGGATAGACAGTCTCCTCCCATGAAATTACCAGTCTCTGAAAACCAAGAGGGTCACCTAGCTATAAGTTGGTTCCTACTGGACAGTGTACAACAATAACAATACCATGATGTGGTCTATTGATACCAAATTTTTACTTTCTTGATGTTGAGATGTAATTCATATTGAAGGCTAAGTCCTTGATATTCTATAGCAAGATCTTCGAGGCATCCGTACGTTCAGCAAGCAAGGTTGTGTAATCTGTATAATGCAGACGGTTGATGAGTCTCCCTCTGATCTTGACACCACACTCTTCTTAATAAAGTTCAACTTCTCAAATTATTTGCTCAGCATATTAACTGAACAGGTATGGAGAATAGATACAGTTCTGTGGCACGCCTTCATTGATTTTAAGCCATATAGTATTCATTGTGCTGTTTAGACGACAGCTCCTTGGTCTAAGTTTCTCATGAGTGCAATTAAGTGTTCTGGGATTCCTATTATTCTCAATGTTAACCATAATTTGCTATGATCCACACAGCCAAATGTCTTTGCATAATCAGTAAACTCCCCCCAAAAAATCCTTCTGATATTCTCTCCTTTCCACTATGATCGATCAGTCATCCACAATGATATATATGGTACCACAGCCTCTTCTAAATCCAACTTGAATTTCTGGCAATTCTCTGTTCAACTTAAATTTCTGTCAGTACCGATCTAGCCATTCTTGGATGGTCTTCAGCAAGATTTTACTTGTATGTGATAACAATTATATTGTTTAATAATTTCCACATTCTGTTGGACCTGCTTCCAAATTCTGTTGAATCATAATGTCTTTTCCAAGGACTGATCCTTCCTGATATATGTACCAAAAACATGTGAGAAGAATTTCACAATCCTTGCTTCTAAGGAGCACTCTCTCTTTATACTTCCTCCCAAGACAGATTTATTTATGCTTTTGGCAATCAATAATATATCATATAGTCTTCTTTACTACCACAATTCAAAAGCACTATTTCGTTTCCAGTCTTCTTTATTATTCATTGCCCAGCTTGTAGATATGCTCATTGCCCTATGCTAGGTGACTCTAAGATAGACAGTGAACAAGTTAACAAATAGATAAATATTTCTGAGCTCAGTTATAGGGAATTCAGAAACAAAACAGATTTGCTGAATAACTCATAATTGGAATACTTAGTATTTAGTTTCAAGATCATGGTAGAATTTGACATGAGAGATAAGTACAGAGATGTCTGGGTTCCATCACATGCATAGTATCAAAGGATCTGCAATTAGATCTTAGGAATCTACATTTCAATATCACTAAGCCTGAGTTGTGGGAGCATTAATGTCTGAGAACTATAACTCTATGCTATGAAACAGAACATAAATTTATCTTTTCATTTGTGAGAATTGTAAATGTAGCTCTAGAGTCTTACATTTGTGTCTTTTACCCATAAATTATTTTATACAAACAGAGAAATGCCGTTTGGAGTCCTATTATACTTAGGACATAGACAAGATATCCTATATTTGGGGGGGGAACCTCTAAATTTTCATCCACTTTGGTCATATTATCAAAATATGAATATAAAAGATCACATGTGGGTAATACTTTCTCAAAGAAATGAAATACAATAAACAAACTAGATACTACAAAGTTTTGTGCCCTATTATTAACTGACAGATTGACAATTGGTATCCACATAAAGCCATCACAGTAGAAAGTGCTAATATAATACTTCTTCCATACTATTATAACCATTGAACACTATACAATGTAATTTTACTCTTTGTATTCATTAGGTCACTATCAATAGAATTATCTTGACAGTAACAAGGTACGGGCACAATTGAAGCTTTACGTATTTTCTTAGCGTTTCAATTAACAGGCTAAGCCCAAGGAAGACTTGACTTTTTCAGCAACTTTCTTGAAGGCACTTTTCACTTCTTTGTTCCTCAGGCTGTAGACTAGAGGGTTGAGCACGGGGATAATCATGGTGTAGAATACAGATGCCATTTTGTCGGTGTCCATGGAATGACGAGAACTTGGCCGTACATACATGAAGATGATTGCTCCATAGAACATAGACACCGTGGTGAGGTGGGAAGCACAGGTGGAAAAGGCCTTCTTTCGTCCCTCAACTGAGCGCATTCTCAGGATAGCGATAAAAATGAGCACGTAAGAGGTCAAGATAACAAGAAGAACAAAAAAGACACTAGCTGCAGCCGTGGTGATGAGCACAATTTCATTTGTGTGGATATCAGAGCAAGAAAGAGCCAGCAGTGGGGGAATGTCACAGAAAAAGTGATTAATCACATTGGAATGACAAAAAGAGAGGTGGAAAGTGAGGGCAACATGGATGGAAGATTGCAAGAATCCATAGATGTAGGAACCAGTAACCAGTAACACACATACATTCCTTGTCATGGTGGTGGCGTAATGCAGGGGCTTACACACTGCTGCATGTCGGTCGAAGGCCATAGAGGCCAGAAGGAATGTTTCACTTGTGGCAAAGACTCCAAAGAAGAATATCTGAGCAGCACAGCCGTTGTAGGAGATGATCTTGTCTCCAGTGAGAAAGCCTACGATCACCTTGGGAGTGACCGCTGAGGCGTAAACACAATCTACGAAGGAGAGGTTGCTGAGAAAAAAGTACATGGGTGTGTGGAGACGAGTGTCCAACACAATCAACGTGATCATTCCCAGGTTCCCAACCATGGTGATGCAGTAAATGAGAGTGAAGATTATAAACAAAGGGACCTGCAGTTGCAGCACGTCTGTTAACCCCACAAATATAAACTCAGTCACCTCAGAGATGTTCTCCATCTAGGTTGTTTGTGAATTGTCAAGTGAGAAACCTAGGTCAAGATGAGAAAACAAGAGATAGTAATACATAAACAGTGCCAAGAGAATTGACATGAGGACAGGTTTGCGTTCAGATGAACCGGCTTCCTGTGTATAAGAAGTTGAACTGAATCTAGCTATGGGAGGAGGTGATTGATGTGGCCTAGAAAGGTATTAAATGCACTTTATGATTATGGTTGGAACAGACAAAAGTGCTGTTACTTTTAGACACATTCCGTATTGTTTGGTTTGTAGTATACTTGGAAGGACACTTCACACTATATCCTAAGGATTTTTTTTTAACTACTAGCCATACCTGCATTCCATTATTCATGTATTTTATCTTCCATGGTCACCTCCAGGGGCTTCTCTGTTGACAGCTTCGTGTGGCTGTTCTTAATATAGTATGAGAGGCCATCTCAACAAACAGCCCCCCCAAAAAAAAAGAAACAACAACCTACTCCTAGTCTTTAAATACGAAATTCCTTTTGCCTCTTTTTGTTTAATCATTTTCACATTCAAGGCAGAATAGAATAAAGTCATTGATTTTTAAAGCTAGTCTCTTGGGAATAAACCTATACACTTACAAGTAGGATAATAAAAGGGAGCTCTAATGGCTTAGTGGCAAGAACCTGTGCTGCAATCCCAAAGGCATGCGGTTCAAATACCAGTGGCTCCATAGGAAAAAGATGGACAATTTCCTCCCATCCAATTAACTGCCTCTGAAAACCACTGAAGGGTCACCTATGGGTTGGTTCTGACTCTATGGTACACAAAAACAACATGTTAATAACAATGTATTATCAGCGGCATGAGTTTAAGTCACTATAACATGCCATTAAGTTGGAACTGACTCATAACTAACCCTTCAGTGGGTTTGTAAATCCAGTAAATTTCACCGGAAGAGATTGCCCATCTATCTCCCATCAGAGAAGATGGTGAAACAAAACCTGTTACCTTTGGGTTGGCAGTACAACTTCTTACACATTAGGCCACAAGAACAGTGATGTTAGGTACTATTGGCTGTCAAGGACTTTTGTTCTTAGGGTCGCTGTGACTTGCCTATGACTCGGCGGCACTTGACAACAACAACATGCTTCATAGCGACCTTATAAGTAAAAGGTCTAACTAACCCTTGTCTTATCCAATACCATCTTCATCATCTCTAGTATGCTTGAGCCCAGTGATAGAATCAATGTGTCAATCCACTAGAGGCATGAGTGTTGTTGCTGTTGTTGTGTACCGTTGAGTCCGGTCTGGCCCCTAGCTGATCCTTCGGTGGATTTTCAGAGATAGTTCATCACGGGGAGGAGATTGCCCATCCTTCTCCTACTGAGACATGCGTAATGGGTTTAAATGAAAAGATATATTTCAATCTAACTTAGAGGCACCGGAAGACATCCTGAAGATGATGGTTTCTGCCCTATGGCTTGGAGACTGAAGAACTCACAATAATTATAATTAATTATTATAAAAGCATACATTTTATATAGCACACATGCAATGTACTAGGAAACTGTTTTAAACTATTCATATCCATTAACTCATGAATACATTATTACTTTGAGAGAAAAAGTATTACTATTTCTCTTTTTTTCTTAGAAGGTAACTGAGGATTGAAGAAGTAAATAAGCTACTTTCTATTAAAGCTGTTAGTAGAAGCCAGATTTCAATCCTAGAAACATGGTTTTAAGTCCTGCCAAGTTAACTAACATCTATAGTTTCTCATCTCTCAAGTGGGAATAATTACAATTTAACCTTTTAATGTTGATATATACAATAATATATTACATCAAATATTCAGTATTTAGCCCATTAATTTTACTGCTGTTACTAATAATTCTACTAAACTAGAAAGAGAGAACATCATAGATAAAAACGTAAGCTGATACACACAATAGTATAAGCAGAGAACTAAGGACAGAAAGGTGTTGTTATTAACACTCATTGCCCAATCAAAAGTTCATTTAGGGGTTGCTGGGAAATAGTTATTTGGGTAAATAAGGCAGATGGAAGAGATTGCCCATCCTTCTTTTGCGAAGTATCTGGTGGATTCGAACCACATGCCTTTGGGACTATAGCACAGCTTCTTACTACAAGGCCACCAGAACTCCAACTTCTTTATCTATACTTTGATGTGTAAACAGAAACAAGAAACCTCCTTTAAAGGCAGGAAATCAGAGGCAGTAGAGATGAAGGTAAGATAGGACTATAAAACATGAGAACTGGATATAGATCTTCCATTCAATTAATCTTTTTTTATGCACAAAATAAAATACTTTGCCCGAATCTTAATACAGGCCTATGTCATTCTCTGTTGTGACAGTGACTATGGAAAAAATTTACAAGTATAAAATAATAATGTTTTTTAAAAAAATCTTATCATCCAAGCCATCCTTTCCTGGCTATCTAAGGATATTCAGCCAGTAAAGTTGAAAGTTCAAAGTCTGATGCTGTCAAAGAATATGATTTGAAAATTAAGATCCTCAATTAAAAGTTGGTATTGTTACAAATCCTCAAGTTCAGAAAAATTGGAGATATTTCCCCACCACTCACAAAAGTCACACCTTCTACCCTTGAGTTGGTTCTAATAATGACCCTTCACTGAGTTTCTTTACAGAAAGAAAGGGCCTGACCATCTTTTCCCTTGAAGAGTAACTTCAATTCAAACAGCTGGAAGCCTGACACTCTTTTAAACAGATCATGCACTGTCTTTGATGTAGTGACTTTCTGTCTATGATTAAAATCTCTTCATTCCATCCATTTATATGAGGGTTAGGTGATAGGTATGAACATACTATTAGGGTGACAGCAGCGTGTTAAAGTGGAAAGAACAATGGACTAAGATCAAAAAGACAATATGTAACAAGAGGTCCTTGGTCATCTTACCTTTCATTTCCTCATTTGTAAAATGAAATGATGAGATCTTCAAACTGGCTCTGAGTTCATATTTTCCAAAAACTAACAGACTAATGAAATTCCGAAAGGGTGGGTATAGAACACTTTCACGTCCATGTGGTTGACCCGAAGTCCACATCCAGGAAAGCATAATATTGGAGAAACTCCTTCCTCTCCTCTCAAACTCTGGCTGTGGAAGATAATCTGGCCTTATGCCTTCCCAAGTATCAGGCAGAGACACTGACCTGTTTACCAAGTCTCCAGGGAAACATTTGGCATTAAGTGCATAGAGATCTCAGAAGACTCCTAATTCTGGCTGATTCTCCTAATCTGACCTCAACTGGAGCTCTCAGAGACTGATGTTTGCATTTTGATGGGGAGTGTATGAAGACAAGATGGAATGGGAATTTAGACATAGTTGAAGCACCGCAGCTAATATGTGTATAAAAATTAAAACATTTCACTGCAATCTATTACTTATGTATTATCAAGAGTTCATGTGTGCTTTCTTTTATCAAGTTTGGTTCTTTCTCACGAGACTGCATGGTCTCTCCAGACTGATTATCTATAATGAATCTTTTCTTTCTTCTACAGAGTCATCTTATCTTAATACTCCATAGTTACTACTCTTTGGAAACAAATTATCACTTATCTCTTTTTAAGCTTATTTTGTTTTTGCAATTACACACAGGAATACATGAATCTAACAATTTCTACATGTGCTTTGGTAACGTTCTTTAAGTGTTGCAGCTAGCCTCCATCTGCTTTTCTGAATTTTCCCCTCACTTTTATATAAACGCATTGCTCTCTAAGAGAATTATCTAAACCTTTGAATCAATTTGATGTTTTTTTAGGTATTTATTTTAAAAAGTATATTTTTTGTGTGACTGACATATTTCACTCAGCATAATGTTCTCCATGGTCACCCAATTTGTATATTTCATGAGTTCCTTGTTTGTCAGTGCTGCATAGTATTCCATTGTGTGACTATACCACACCTTCCATTCATTTATTGATGGGCACTTAGGTTGTTTCCAACTCTTTGCTATTATCAACAAAGCAGCAATAAATATGGCTGTGCATATATCTGCTTGTGTGGCAGTTCTGATTTCTTTAGCATATATTCCAGGAGTGGAATTGCTGGGATAAATGGTATTTCTGTTTCCAATTTTTTGAGAAAGCACCATACTGCCAAATGCTGCATAATGCCATTGTTGTAACACAGGAATAACATCAGGATTGGGCAGTAACTAAGAAAAGAGGGGATAAATAATGTACACTACATGGGAATCCCAGAACATTTAATTGTGCTAATGCGAAACCTGTACTTGGACCAAGAGGCAGTAGTCAGAACAGAGCAGGGTAATACTGCATGGTTCAAACTTGGAAAGGGTGTACGCCAGGGATGCATCCTGTCTCCATACCTTTTCAAC